TCCCGTGTCCCCGGGCAGGATGTTTGCCAGCAGGAGGAAGCAGCACTACTGGCCGTACTCCATGGACTGCAGCGGCAGCGAGGCTCACATTTCCAGCTGCCGCCTGGGCTCTCACTCGGGGGGCTCGGGCCACAACAGCAGCTGTGACAGTGGCATGCCAGCCGTGGTCAGCTGCGTGCCCGGCAGAGCCTTCGCCCCCAGTAGCCACAGCGGCTTCCGAAAAGCCTTCAGGCAGGAGGTGAGCGGGGACTCGAAATGGGTGGGGAAAAATATCGGGAATTGTTCGGTTCCACGCAGCCCGCGCCAGCTGCGAGCATTGGGCTGTGAACTGGGATTGCTCCCGGTTGGTATTTCCGGGGATGCAGGGGAAGCTGCTCTGGGAATTCCGTCCCAGCACTGTCCCAGGGATGATTTTATTCCCAATATCCCGTCTGTGCCTCCCCTCTGGCAGTGGGGAGCCGTTCCCTGTGTCCTGTCCCTCCAGCAGATTCCCAGAGTTCAGGGCTGTTCCTGAACAGATGCAAAAACAGAATTCTGGAATGGTTTGGGTTGGAAAGGACCTCAAAATCCCATCCAGAGCCACCCCTGCCATGGCAGGGACACCTCCCACTGTCCCAGGGAGCTCCAACCTGGCCTGGGACACTTCCAGGGATCCAGGAGCAGCCACAGCTCCTCTGGGAATTCCATCCCAGCCAGGAATTCCTTCCCAATATCCCACCCATCCCTGCCCTTTGTCAGTTTGAAGCCGTTCCCTGTGTCCAGTCCTTCCTGCCCAGTAGATTCCCAGTATCCAGGGCTGTTCCTGCAGCACCCACAGAGAGATGGGAAAACAGAATCCTGGAATGGTTTGGGTTGGAAAGGACCTCAAAATCTCATCCAGAGCCACCCCTGCCATGGCAGGGACACCTCCCACTGTCCCAGGGAGCTCCAACCTGGCCTGGGACACTTCCAGGGATACAGGAGCAGCCACAGCTCCTCTGGGAATTCCATCCCAGCCAGGAATTCCTTCCTAAAATCCCACCCAGCCGCCGATTAGAGCAGGAAACCCCTGGGTGTGCAACCCTTCACCACCAACTCCCACAAAGTCCCCTCTGCAATTCCCCTCTCCCTGCACGCCCAGCTCAGCTCCCACCCTCCCAAATTCCCGTTTTTGTTTTTGTTTTTGTTTTTTTTTTCCTCCAAAAGGTGGGAGAGCAGCTCCCAGGGCAGCTGGCAAAGCTGGGAGTGAGGAGTGAGGGAATCCCAGGGTCACGTTCCTGCTGGAGCTGCTCGGAGCCAGCTGAACTCGTGCCCGGCTGCTGCTCCACAGGCTCTGGAATTCCGCTGGAATTCATTTCCCTGTGGAAATCAGCTGGCATTTCCTCTCCCTCCATGTCCTCAGTGAGGAAATGCCCTGGAGGGAGGCTGGGAAAACACGGGGAGCTTGTAAAGCTGGGCTTGTTTAGTCTAGGGAGGAGGAGAGCGCTGAGCAGGGCAGAAAAATCCCAGGATATTCCGAAATATTTGCAAAAAATATTGGAAAGCAAGGCTGGGATTGGTCGTTCCCGGTGTCAGGGGCTGGGAGGGGACAGCTCAAGCAGCAAACACGAGCTTGGTGGGTGCCAAGGGAAATTTTCCAGCTGCAGCCTTTGGGATAGGGGAGGAACCTTGGAGCTTTCTCATCGGAGAATTTTGTGCATTTGTGAAATCGTGAAAAATTTGCATTTTCTGGCTGCTCCTGGGTGGATTTAATGGGGGTCTCTGGGCTCTTCCCAGGTGCCAATAATGGGAATAATTATTGGTGGGAATAATGCAATCCCTGCCTCCATCCCAGGCTCTTCCCTGCAGCAGAATTTGCAGGATTTAGGCCCGGGAGGTGAAAGGTTTTGTAAATCATTGTTAATCTCCAGAGCTGCACGCGCTGCCAAGTAATTCCTTAAGCCTTTGTTTAGGCTGAGCTTGTCCTTGGTGTGACCCCAGCCTGGAGAAAAAGCTCCAGGAGTGATCCCAGTCGGAAAAGTGAAGGATTTTTGGTGTTCCCAAACCTAAAGCTTTGCTCTCACCACCTCCCCCCAGCTCCCAGGTGCAGCAGGAGTTGGCAGCTCTCTGCTCGGCACTGGGGAGAGGAACGGGTGATTAACAGGTGATAATTAAATATGATAAACCCAGAAATGAGTGGGACTGGAGCTGCCACCCAGCTGGGTATTCCTGACTGCAAATGCCAGGTTTTTTCATTCGTTATTTGTTATTTCATTATTATTTAGGATACATGGAGAAGGCTTGGAAATGTGAATAATGAGTTAGAAATCCCCAATGTGCAGTGGGTCAGGTGTGTGTGTTTGCACTGGGGGATGGGGTTTAAATTTGAGGTTTTTACAGTGCAGGGGTGGATGTGGGACAGGATGGAGAATTTGGGGTGGTGTCTTTTTCTTTGTTCATCTTCTTCTCTTCCTTCTTCTGCACAGAACTCAGGCAGTGACCTTTGGTTGGTCAAATGTCACTCTAAGGGTGGTGGGAATCCATGATTGGGTCAAAAGGATCAATAATGGAGGTGTTAAACTTTTATTGGTTTTGTTTGGCTTTAAAAGGCCTTGGAGCAGCCTCAGCTGGAGCCTTTTCCCCACTTCCAGCAAGGAGCTGGAGGTGCTGTCACACTTTGTGTAATTTCTGATCAGATCCAATAAACATCCAAGCCCAGCACGAGAATCCTGTCCCAAAGGAAGGATCCAAGATTTGGGATTGGGGTGGATTTCCATCCAATCTTTGGGGCTGGGGTGGATTTCCATCCAAGATTTGGGGTTGGAGTGGATTTCCATCCAATCTTTGGGGTATTGGAGTGGATTTCCATCCAATCTTTGGGATTGGGGTGGATTTCCAGCCAAGATTTGAGGTGCTTTGAGGAGCTGGAGGTGCTGTCACACTTTCTGTAATTTCTGATAAGAAACAATAAACATCCAACCCAAACACAAGAATCACCTCCATGGTGTTTCCATTAATCCTGGCTCTGAGTGAAAACAAACAAAACTAATGACAAACCACTAATTAGTGCTGCAAAGCCCAGCTTTACCCTCCCACACTAATTCTCTTCTCTCCTCTCCTCCTCTTGGAGACAACCTTGATCCGAGAAAACTTCTGGAAACAAATCTCCCCCTCTGCAACCCGTGGGGCAGCAGTGGGTGCTGCTGTGCCACCTGTGCCACCTGTGCCACCTGTGCCACCTGTGCCTTGTGTCTGTGTGTTTGCAGCAGCCCCTGGTGAGGCTGAAAGGAGGAGCCAACACGGGCGAGGGCCGGGTGGAGGTGCTCAGGAACGGCGAGTGGGGCACGGTGTGCGACGACAGCTGGAACCTGGTGTCTGCCAGCGTGGTGTGCCGAGAGCTGGGCTTTGGCAGCGCCAAGGAGGCCATCACGGGGGCCAGGCTGGGCCAAGGTGAGAGCCAGGGGGGCCAGGGGGGGCCTGGGGGCCGGGAAATGGGTCCACAAATACCAGGGGGTTGAGTGCGAAACGGAGACGGAGGAGCGGCGTTAATTTATCGGAGGACAGGGAGAGCCCGTGGGGTTTCTGTCCCGGTTTTTGGAGGGTTCAGCCTCTTTTTATCCCAATTTCCCTCTCTTTCCCCATGGGCTGAGGTACCTGACAGGTCCCAAATCACCTGAGACCCCTTTCTAATATATAACCCCCCCCTCTTTGTTTTTCCCTATGGAATTCATGGTTCCTCCCATTGTTCCTTTCATCTCTCAATATCCAATTTTATTGATTAGCAGACCCACAGCATTTTTGTAAAGACTGTCAGGAAAATGAATCCACAGACACCAGAGGTTTGTGTCCAAAAAGGAGACAGAAGAGTCCCAGAACTTTATTTTAATAAAGGGAGAGGCCATGGGACATTTCCAATTTTTAGAGGACACAGCCTCCTTTTTATCCCAATTTCCCTCTCTCTTTCCCCATTACCTGAGAGGTCCCAAATCACCTGAGACCCCTTTCTAATGTATTCTCCCCACCTTTTTCTTTTCCTTGTGTCAATCAGTGGAATTCCTATGGAATTTATGGTTCCTCCCATTGTTTTTTTCATCTCTGGGTTTGCAGTTTTATTTATCTATCAGCTTTGTAAAGACAGATCTCTCTCATTCCATTTATCCATCAGTGGAATCCTTCCCATTGTTTTTTATCTCTCACTGCCTGTTTTTATGGACCAGCAGACCCCGAGTTTGTTTGTAAAGACAAATCCCTCATTCCTTTCACTGGTGCCCTGAATTAAGGAATGTTCCACCCCCAGGAACATCCCATAATTCAAGGCACAGCAGATTTTTGGTTGAGATGCTCAATTTGAAGACCAGGAATTTCTTCCTTAACCTTAATAATTCTCTTGAGGCCAGACTGGAATTCTGTCACTTAAAAAGATTCCCTGGAAAAAAAAAAAACAAAAAAACCTGGGGATGATGAGTTTGACCTTTTGCTCAGGCAGCTGTTCCAGCAATTAATTCTTAATTATCTCATCTGCTGCTCTGAAATTCCCTTTGAGTTCTTCAGAACCACACCATGGTGTAATGCATTACTAGAAGGTTCCTGGCAAAAAATAAATCCTAGACTCAGACTTCAAATGCTCCAATTTAAGAGCAGGACAGTAATTTAGCTCATTATAAATAGAAGGGCATTTGAACAGCTCAGAGCCAGGTTTGGGTTTGGATTTCCTGTCTCTGGGAGTTGGTTTCAATCCCAAAATGTGGTCAAAGGCGAACTGAAACCACCTGGTGATTCCCACATCTCATTCCCGGGGTGGAGATCCAAAAAAAAAAAATAAAAAAACATGGACACCATACCCTAAGGGAGAATAACCTAAAACATTGACACCAAACTCTTGCTGTGAGAATAACAACAAAAAAAAAATTGATACCAAGGCCTTGTTGTGAGAACAGACACACAAAAAAAAAAACAAACCAAAAAAAAGACACCAAATCCTTGTGAGAATAAAGGAATGGAAAAAATTTCGAGAATAAAGGAATGGGGAAAATTCCTTCAGCTTGGAGAAGGGAAGAGAAGGAAACAACACGTGGGTGTCCCGAGTCTGGGAAACCTTAAAACATGACCAAATCCTCTGGATTTGCCAAAAAACCTCTTTGTGGTGGGCTGGAATGTGCTGATGTGTTTAGTGGGATGTAGAAACAGCTCCATCATCCTGAGGGCTGCCACGTGAGGCAGGAGAACGTGGAACGAGATGTTCCTGCAGATCCCACAGCCTGGAATCTCCCTGTGCATTCCCACACTCTGCCCTTCACATTTATTTTTCCCCTTTTCCTTCTCATCCATCAGT